CGTCGCTCGCGCCGCGGCGCGCGTCGGCCGCCCCCGAGCCCGGCGCCGCGCCGCACGTGGCCGGCGGCGCGGGCGGCCTGCCCGAAGAGGGCCTGCTGACGTTCATCGCCCATGTCGCGGCGGCGCTCCCGGCTAAGCGCGCGGACGAGCCCCTGCTGCTGCTGCACCACATCGGCGACCTCGTCCGCCGCCACGCGGGCGGCGCGCTGGAGCGGCTGCGGGCGGCGCTGCTGCGGGCCGGGCTAGGGGCGCGGCTGGTCGCGGCGGCCAAGGGTGATCTGGACGAGGGTGATCTTGTGCTGGAAGAGGGCGCCGCCCACGCGGTCGACGCTGCGGCAAACGGCGGCGGCCCGGCCCGTGACGCCAACAGCAGCGCCGGGGCGGCCCAGAACGGCGGCGCGCACAATGGCCAGCGGCAGGGTGCGGACGAGGGGCGGGGCAGTGGTGGGGCCAGCAGCGGGGGCGGCGCGCCGCGGGAGGAGCTGCGGTCGGCGGCGCGGGGCGCGCTAGCTGTGGCGGCGCTGCTGGTGCTGAAGCAGTACCTGATGGCGGCCTACTGGCTGGCGGACGACCGGGTGGCGGAGTTCGCGCCAAAGGGGGACAAGAAGCGTGCCGAGGAGAAGGGCGTCGTGGCGCGCAATCCAAAGGCAAGCAGGCGCCGCCGAGCGGGGCAAGGGGGCGACACGTGCTGTGCGCCTGCTGGCCCATTGTGTGGTAGCTTGCCACTCGCATGCTCCACCCCACTCAAGGACCTGATTCCCACAAGGACATGAGACCCGATCTCTCCCTCTTCCGCAAGCGTCATCGCCGACCCCTCACCTTCCGCCCCTCCCCTGCCCCCCTCCCCTTCTGCCGCACCGCCCCACGATGTCACAGGTCGTGTTCAGCCTGTCGGTGCTCACCGAGCGCTGCCTGCAGGATGAGGGGGACGTTCTGGCCGAGCTCTTCTGCAACCTCAAGGTGCGCGCCCGCCCCATGCGACGCGTGCGCACGCGGGCGCCATGCGGGCCCGCGCGCCGCGGCCATGATGCGGCCGCTCTGCGTGCATGCACCCTGCTTTTTGTCCCTAATGCATGCATGCCTGTTGCAGCATTCTTGCGGCGCGTCATGGCGGAGTCTGTTGACCTCATAATTGTTCTTCGTTGCACAAGAAAACAACAACATCCAACATGCGCACCCTCAACTTCACCAATCCAGGGCCTGATGGACCAAGATGCCACCTGCCGCGGCATCGCGCATGGCGGCGCCGAAGGAGGCGGCGACGACGGGAACGCGGAAGACGGCGGCGACGCGGAAGGCGGCGGCGGCGGCGGCGGCGAAAGCGCGGACGTGCCGCAGCATGGCGGCGCGGCTGCAGCAGCAGCCGCGGGAAAGGCGCACCAGCGGCGGTCGTCGACGGCTGCTTTGGCTGGCGCGGAGGGGACGCCGGGCGTTGCCTCGAAGCCAGGCAAAGGCCTTGTCGTTTTCAGCACCAACGGCCGCAAGCCGCCCGGCGGCGGCGGCAGCACGCGTGGCAAGGGCGGCGGCGGCAGCAGCAAGGGCAGCAGCGCGCGTGGCGGTCGCAGCGGTCGTGGAGGCTCGGCCCCGCGCGGCCGGGGCGGGCGCAGCGGCGCGAAGGGCGGCGGCAAGCGGCGGAGGCGCAGCAGCCGCAGCGTGAGCGATGACGAGGACAGCGGCGAGGACGCCGGCGCGGCGCTGTGCAGCGATGATGAAGAGTATGAGCCGGCCAAGCAGCTTTTTTAACGACCAAGCCACCGGCCAGGGGGCGCGCCGTCTCTGCGTGTTATTACGATCGCGGTTTCGTGGGGTGGCGGTTTTGCACGCATTTTGAATCAGGACGCGGATTACAGGCCCCGGCGCCAGCGGCAGCAGCAGCGTCGGTGCTCCTTTGACAAACATAACTTTTGTATGCTTTGACTTACGACGTCACGCATTCCTTTTTCCAGCGGGGCTGCCGGCTTTGGGTGCCAACCTTGTCGCAACCGCACACTGCAACACATGTGTGTGTCCCGTTGCTGCCTTCAGTGGGCAGTATGAAGCACCCGAGCCCGTGCACCCCAGTCCGTGCACGACTGTAACAACCAAACACCCTAGAGGTTGGCATCATTGATGGCATCCGGGCCGGGCTGCAGGCTGAGATCTTTGGAGCGGTTGAAGACTGGTCGGTTGTGCACCATGTGGGTCTTGGTTGGACCTCTTGGCCCGCTGTTGACTGGGTAAGATTTCGCCACCTTTTCTTCGACTCAGCGCCGTGTAGCAACGTGATGGGAGACGCAACGCGGTGCGCAGCTGCCGCGAAGTTGGGTCCCTCTGCAGACTCTGCCTGATCAAGGTAAAACTCCAATAGTAACAGGGCACATTGAACCTCTCCAGAGTTTCTAGGTGGCCAACGGCGAGATGGCGGCACCGGCAGCCACCCAGCATGCCGAGCTCGAGGAGCTGCGGCAAAAGATTGCAGCTCTCCAGGTCCGTAATATCACAAATTATTGGATATCTGCTGCATCGGGCACGTTGTGCCGCGTCCAAACTGACCTCGGGCTTCAGCATGGCTGATTGACAGCCGCTGCGCCGCTGCGCACTGTGCCCCCCTTGCTGCTTGTCGCTGCGCAGGCCGACCTGCGGGAAAAGGAGGCGAACAGCGAGCTGGTGCACCCCTACTCCCAGAGCTATGGCCGCGCCATGATCAGCAGCATCCTGGGCACGTCCGACGGCGGCAAGAGCCTGGTGGGCTTGTCGTTGTAGTGCACTGCGCTTGCCCGAAATCCTCACACATCCGTGCCTGTGCCTCCACGCAACACGCTCTCGTTGCCGAGTGCTTGCACAAATCGGCAGCCCGACGACATTAGCCGCCACCACTAACGTTTGCATTGCTGTGTGTGTGCAGGCGGGGACCAAGCTGCGGGTTGGCGGTTGGGTGAAGACGGGCCGCGAGGCGGGCGCGGGCGCGTTTGCATTCCTGGAGGTCAACGATGGCAGCAGCTTTGACAGCCTGCAGGTGCGGCGGGCCTGCAGAATGAGTGTGCACGTTTTTTGTTCGCGCGCTCGCGCGCGCGCGTGTGTGTGTGGGTGTGGGTGTGTTTGTTGGTAAAGAATGTGGGTACTTGCGTGCAGTGACAGTCAACTGTGCAAGCGGACTGCTGACTAGGTGGGCGTTTCTCTCCCTTGGCTCTGCACGGGAGTTGCTGCCTGGCAACGCCGCTCCGCAGCTGCCTCCAAAGACCCACGCTGGCGTCTTCGCGGCGTCTTTCCCTCACGCCCCGCCCCTGCCGCGCCCGCCCCGCGCTCCCACCCCCGCAGGTGATGGTGACCAAGGAGGTGGCGGAGGAGGTGGGCGGCCTGAAGCGCCTGGCGCCCACAGGGACGGCTGTGCTGGTGGAGGGGGAGCTGGCTGAGACGCCAGAGGGCACCAAGCAGGCGGTGGAGCTCAAAGCCACAAAGGTGGGTGTGCGCACACGCGCGCGCGCGCCTCTGTGTGTAGGTGGGTGGGTGGGTGAGAGTGTGTGGGTGAGTGTGTGCGCGCGCACGTGTATACGCGTGTGTGCCCCGGGGGGCGGTGGTCTTCTGCAGCAGGCCGTGCTGGCAGTCGGGAGGGCTGCGTTGCGCACGCGGCGGGGTCGGAGACTGTGCGTGAGTCTGCAAGCGCTGGTGTTGCCTCCCCAGCAGGCTGCCAGGCGCGGGCCCCCTCTGCCAGCAGCCTGCCCTCCTGGCCGCCCGCCAACGCGGCGCCCCGCCCGACGGCACCGCCCGCGCCTCGTCCCGTGTGTTTCGCCCCCCCCCCAGGTGCTGCACGTCGGCGCGTGCGACGCAGCCACCTATCCCATGGCCAAGAAGAAGCAGACCCTGGAGTTCCTGCGGGAGAAGGCCCACCTGCGGCCCAGGCGCGTGCACAGGGAGCACGACGGCGAGGGATTTGGTCGCCGGCCCCAAGCCTGGAACGTGATTCGCAAACAGAGGCCTTCTCAGGGCTGCCACTTGGGCTCGGCGCTCCCGGCGGGGCCGGCGCATCTTTGTTGGCTCTGTGGTGTGCCGGCACGCGAACAGCCGGTGCAACAGGTTTCGCTTGCACCAGCTGGAAAGTATCGGAGACTCACCACCACGCGTCCGCGGCCCGCCCATCCACCTGTACCCTCTCACCAAACGCAGGACCAACACCATCGGCGCCGTGGCGCGCATCCGCAACGCCCTGGCCTTCGCGACGCACTCCTTCTTCCAGGGCCGCGGCTTCTACTACGTGCACACGCCCATCATCACCGCCAGCGACTGCGAGGGCGCGGGGGAGATGTTTGCGGTGCGCGCCCGAGCCGCGGGCCGCGCCCTGCGGCAGGGGGGCGTCGGGCCAGGGCCGGGCGGGTTGAAGGGGCCATCTGCTTCCGACGCAGCAAGGCCTTTGGCCCGGTGCGGCGTCCATTTTTTCCTCAGCGTGTTTGAAACCTTCGCGTCGCCTCGGTAGCTTCGGGCATGTCACCCCCCCTCACCTATTACCCATGCTACCGCCCTCGACATGAGACCCCACAAAACGGCCATCGACCCCGCCCACAGGTGACCACCCTGTTCGGCAAGGAGCAGGAGCTGCGGGCGCTGCCGCCGCCGCCCTCCAAAGCTGAGCTGGAGGACTTGCGGGGCCGCGTGGCCGCGCAGGCGGAGCGCGTCAAGGAGGCCAAGGGGGTGAGCCGCGCGGGCCGGGGCCTGGCCGGGCCGCGGCGGCTGGGGTGGACGCGGGGCGCGCCGGCCGGCGCACGCGCCCGGTCGTGGCTTTGCCTGCCGCGTCGCGGATTAAGTGTTTGAGCAGCCTGCAATCTGATGTTATTGAGGGGGAGCGGTTATTCATATGGGTGTGGGGTGGGGTGCGGTGCCAACTGCTTCTGCAGGCAGCGGCTGCGGACAAGGGCGACGCGTCCAAGGCGGCCGCGTCCAAGGCCGAGGTTGATGCGCTGCTGGCGCTCAAGAAGGAGCTGGAGGCAGCAGAGGCGGCGGCGCTGTACCAGGTGAGGGGGCGTGGTTGGGGCCGGGGTGGTTGGGGTCGGTGACTGTGATTTGAGAGAGTTGAAGGGGGCTGGCGGGAGGGGGCGGGAGAGGGGGGCCAGCAGCCCAAGGTGGGGGTTGCAGCAGGGCCAGGTGGCACCTCCCAGGTGCCACCAGGCCTGGCAGCCCTTCGCGCGAACCAAGCGTACGGCAGGCCTCAAGGTATGCAATCATGTGCTGTGGATCATCAAAAATGGACTGCTGCTTGCTTTTCCTGTGCTCTCCGAAGCATATCCTGCGCCTGCCTACCAATTCGACCTCCTGGCGGCGGCGAGCACACCCACAAACCCACCTGCACGCTGGACGCCGCACCCGTTGGCTGGAGCCCGCCCCTCCCTCTTTCACAAGGCCCCTGCCGCGCACCCGAGGGCGCCCAGCCGCATTCCCACCTCGCGTCCCACCACTTTCTCGCGCCCCCGCACCCGATGCGGCAACGCCCGCAGGGCGGTTTCAGGCGCACCCCCCAGGGCGACCTGGACTACAAGGACGACTTCTTCAGCCGCGCCGCGTTCCTGACGGTTTCGGGGCAGCTGCAGGGGGAGTACTACGCCAGCGCACTCTCAAACATCTACACATTTGGGCCGACCTTCAGGCGCGCACGCAAGCATGCGGGCGCGGGTGCCAGCACTGTGGCGGTCTGGTAGACCCCAAACGCAGTGCAGTCGCGTGGCCTGGGTTAGCATTGCATGCAACAAGTTGGAATTGTGGATATTCGGCTCGTGTCTAAGGGATTCTTGATGTTGCAAACTTCCAACATTTAAAACTCCCCTTTTTGTTGCATGAGGTGTCTCGCAACAACCCTCTCCCATGATCCCTGCCCCGCCGCCGCCTCGCCGATTTGCAGGGCTGAGAACAGCAACACCACGCGCCACCTGGCGGAGTTCTGGATGATTGAGCCGGAGATTGCGTTCTGCGACCTGCAGGTGTGGTGCAAGTGTGTGTGTGTGCGCGCGCACCTGGATTCGCTTGAAGGAAGACTTGTGTTGTGTGTGTGTGTGTGTGTGTGTGTGTGTGTGCGCGCGCGCGCGTGCGCCTGGATTTGCGTGAGGGTAGACTTCCTGCAAGAGTTGAGCCGACCATGAGAAAGCCCGACTCAAAGGCCTTGCCCTGTCTCCTCCCCCTCACCCCGCGATATTGTCCAGAGCAAACCAGGCGCAGCTTGCGCGCTCACACTCGCAGACACACACACACTCACAAGCACTGTCACATTCTTGCACCCCCCCCCCCCTCAGGACAACATGCGGTGTGCGGAGGACTATGTTCGTTTCTGCTGCCGCTGGGTGCTGGACCACTGCGAGGCTGACCTGGCGTTCATTACTAAGATGTACGACAAGGGGGCGAAGGAGCGCCTGGAGCAGGTGCGGCCGGATGAGCAGAGGAGCCTCATCGAAGGCGGATGCAAGAGGGGGGTTTCAGAGGGGTTTGCGCGCAGGGAGTGCCCGTTTGGGTCAGGTTGGTTGGTTTTGGGGTGGAGCGTGAAGCTTTCGGGTCGCTGCCAGGTTGTCGTGCAAGGGGCAGCGGGCGCAGGGGTCTATAGAATCCCTTGATGCGAAAGGGGATTGGAAAGGGTTTGAGGGGCAGTAGGGCGTGGGGTTGCTGTGAAGTGTGACACCAACCGCACCAGCTGTGCATATTGTGATGGGCTTCCAGCCAGCCATGCTGGCAGCACTCAGGCGAGGCCATACCTCCGGCCCATTCACCAGCATGCACCCTGGGGAGGCACGGGACCCAGCACATTGCGAAGCCCGCTTCGGTGCGGTCTGTGACATCACTCCTGGCCCTGCCTTCCCATGCTGTGCTGCTCTGCACCGCCCTCCACCCCTTCCTGACCCCTGGGCCTTCCCGACGCCTCTGCGAGACACTTTTGTGACTGCCGCCACCCCCCCCCCCCCCGTGCTGTCGTGCGGCGGCGCCCGGTGCCTTGCTCACAGGTGGCCGGGTCGTCCTTCGCGCGCTGCAGCTACACGGAAGCCATTGAGAAGCTGGAGGAGGCCATCAAGGGCGGCCGCAAGTTCGACAACCCGGTATGGAGAGAGGGGCTTCCCTGCACGCATCCCCATGCACGCAACCGCGCACGCACGCACAGGCCCTCACGCAGGCACACACGCGCACACACAGTGCGCAAATGCACAAGCTCGCACAAACGCACGCTCTCTCTTTCTTTCACACACACACACACATACATACACACACACACACAAAGACGACCCAACCAACCAACCGGTTCCCCCCCAGGTGTCTTGGGGCATTGACCTGGCGACAGAGCACGAGCGCTACCTGGCTGAGGAGCTGTTCAAGGGCCCTGTCATCGTCTACAACTACCCCAAGGCGCGCCTGCCCGGGAGCGGACGAGGTGGTCGGACCGACCTACGATTGTTGGCTTGTTGGCTGATTAGACGGACCTGGTTTGCACACTGAAAACCCAACTCCACCCCCTCTCTGCTTCCCCACCCCACCCCCCCCCCCCCCC